GCCTTTGAAAGTTGTCCAGGTTGCACAGCCAAATATCCTGGAACAAGATATCAAAAGAGGCAAAGCCAGGTCGGGAGAAATGGCTTTATTTTAACTACAATAAATTAGGTTGTTGTCTATAACAATAGTTCATTCTTGTTTATTATGTAGTTATATTCCATTGTAATAATGTATATCCACTTATTTATCCATTCATAAGTTAAAGTATATTTTGAGTTATTACCAGGTTTGGCTGTTATGGAAGAAAAAGATGCTATGAAAATCTAGGTACAGGTTTTTGTGTAAACAAAGGTTTTATTTATCTTGGGTAAATACCTAAGATAAATACTGGGATTTCAGGGTCATATGGTAATTGTATGTTTAACTTTATAAGAAGCTGCCAAACTGTTTTTTAAAGTAGGTATAACATTTTGCATTTCCATCAGCAGTGTATGAGATTTTCAGTTCCTCTGCATAGTCACTAGTACTAGGCATTGCCTATTAAAGAGCCTTTTAGCAGGTTGTAGGTGGTATCCCATTGTTATTTTAATATGCATTTCTTGAATTATTAATGACATTGAGGATATTTTCATATGCTTAATTGCCACTCATATTGTGTGTCTTTGTGTGTTCAGGGTAATGTCTGTTCAAATATTTTGCCCGCTTTAAATTGGATTGTTTTTCTTCTAATTGAGTTGTGTCAATTCACAGTTGGATTCTGAATACCACTCTTTTATCAAATGTTTCTGTTGTAAATATTTTTCCCAGTCTGTGGCTTGTCTTTTCATTTTCATAACCATTTTTTAAGAGCAGAAGTTTTGAATTTTGAAGTCTAATGTATCAATTTTTTCTTTTATAAATATTACTTTTGTAAATATCTATGAAATTTTTGCATAACTAAATATCAGAAATATTTTCCTATACTTTATTTTAGAAGGTTTTTAGTTTTAAGTTTTACATTTAAGTCTGTGACCCATTTACATTAATTTTGTATATGATGTTATTATTACTATTTACAAAGCTCTCTTATACATATGACTACATGTGCTGATCATTAAAAAAATCTTTGTGGAAGGCCCATCAGGAATTTTAAGCCCCATTTTACAGATGATAAGACTTGATAAGTACTATATGACTTGCTAAAAGTTTCATGGCTGATGAAAGGTAAAATTGCAAGGAAAGAAGTAAATTTGTGATGAGACTTCAGATTTCCCTGCTGTCCCAAGACAGTACTTTGGGAACCAGGCATTTATGGCTCAAGATGGCACCCCAGTAAAGCAAATTTTCCCATTGGGGATCTAAACAAGCTTTTAGGCACTGAAGTGACACAGGCAGTGGGCTAGCTATGATATCACTCAGATTGCACTTTTCTGGAGCACTTGAACCTCCACAATTGAAGAGAGCCAGAAACTGGCCTGATGTACTGCTCAGGTGATACTCAATGATGCTTTTTAAATATATATACACTGAGTGGCCAGATTATTATGATCTCTGAATGCACAATAATCTGGCCCATTCAATATATATATATATATATATATATATATATATATATATATATAATCAGATTATTATGATCTCTGAATGCACAATAATCTGGCCCACTTAGAGACCTGGTGCATGAAAATTCATGCATGGGAGGGAGTGTCCCTCAGCCCAGCCTGCACCCTCTCTAATCTGGGACATGCTTTTTACAACTCAGGACTGCTGGCTCCCAACTGCTCGCCTGCCTGCCTTCCTGATTGCCCCTAACTGCTTCTGCCTGCCAGCCTGGTCTCTCCTAACCACTCCTCTGCCAGCCTGATTGATGCCTAACTGCTCCCCTGCCAGCCCGATTTGTCCCCAACTGCTCTCCCCTGTTGGCCTGGTCACCTCTAACTGCCCTCCACTGCCAGCCTGGTCCCCCCCCCCCAACTGCCCTCCCCTGATGACCTTGTCACCTCTACCTGCCCTCCCCTGCCAGCCTCATTGCCCCTAACTGCTCTCTCCTTCTGGTCTGGTCCCCCCACAACTGCCCTCCCCTGCAGGCCTGGTCACCCGTAACTGCCCTGTCCTGCAGGCCTAGTCCCCTCCCCGCAACTGCCCTCCCCTGATGGCCTGATCACCCACAACTGCCCTCCCTTGCAGGCCTCCTCCCTCTGAAATCAAGAAAATTAACTTGCTGTGGGCAACCCAAGTCTCCTGCTTGCTCCAGCTCTGTGGCTGTGGCCATCTTGGTTGGGTTAATTTGCATACTCACTCCTGATTGGCTGGTGGGTGTGGCTTGTGAGCATAGCAGACATATGGTCAATTTGAATTTCTCCCTTTTATTAGAGGTCCAGTGCATGAATTTGCGAATGAGTGGGTATAGCCAGCATGACTAGGGGGAGGGGACATGGGCAGTTGGCTAGCTGCCTGCTGGTCAAACTCCTGGTCGAGGGGACCTATATTAGCCTTTTATTATATAGGATATACACCAAGTGACCAGATTATTATGTGTTCAGAGATCATAATAATCTGGCCATGCAGTGTATATTTTTCTTGATTTCAGAGAGGAAGGGAGAGGGGAGAGAGAGAAACATCAGTGATGAGAGAAAATAATTGATTGGCTGCCTCCTGCATGTCCCTTACTGGAGATAGAGCCCACAACCCAAGCATGTGCCCTCGACTGGAATCAGATCCAAAACTTTTCAATCCAGAGGCTGATGCTCTATCCACTGAGCTAAACCAGCTAAGGCAATGATGCTTTTTTTTTTTTTTTAATGATAATGATGATAAAGACTTGAAATGTATTCAGAGGAGAGTTCTGAAAGTAATTACAGAGTTAGAAATTAAGGCTAAGAAGTAAAATTAAGGGAACTAAGATTATTTAGCCTAGAAAAGAGAGGTCCAGGTGGAACTTAATAACAGCCTTCAAACAAACAAAAACCCTTGGGCTTTCTTTCTGAGTGTTGATCAAGGTGAAATGGGCTATAAGAATATAAGCAAAAGAACAAATTTCTTTCTCCCTGGTGAGCATTGTTACAGATCTTAAGCGTCTTTATAAACAGAATAAACTCTTCTTATTCAAGTTCAGAGCCAGGAAGTTGCCCAACATGGGCTCCAGTGAAGGATTTCAGCATGATGATTACATGACTCTCTTGCACAGTGTCCTTAGAAATCTTTGGGTGGCTCCCAAACCTGTCTTATGTTTGTGGCCTTCCATGCTCCTTAGTCTTAGCGTCTTCACAGGACTTTGTTGCAGTGACCAAGATGAGCTTTACCTCTTGAAGGCTTAATTAATTCCCATGCTTATTGGAACTGAAGTGAAGTAGCTGAGTGCCAAAGGTAATAGATCTGGTTTAGCAACCCTGGAAGAGCCTAGAATTTTGGAAAGTCCAAATATTATCCCAATGCTTGAATCCCTTGTTTTATATCTAGCATCTGCTTGCACACATCCAGTGAAAGATAAACCCGATATAAGATATATACACTGAGTGGCCAAATTATTATGATCTCAGAATGTATAATAATCTGGCCACTCAGTGTACTTATCTTAAGTACTTCATTTATTTGATATCAAAAATATTATAAACCGTGCACCTAATCAATTTTATCCTCTTTGTTCTTGCAGATAGAAAGCTCAGGGCAAATGGGTGGTTGATCTCCAGCAAAAATCTAGAATACATCGAGTGGCTAGATTATTATGCATTCAGAGATCATAATAATCTAGCCACTCAGTGTAATAATACAAGTAACTTTGGACTAGAAATAAAAAAGAGTTGGGTTTGGGTATCAACTCTGCCACTAACTTGCTGTGTGATCTTTGGTAAATCCATTTATATTACTGGATCTGTTTCTTTATCAGTAAAATGGTAGTGGAGGGATATCTTTGTTTTAGTTTTTGTTGCTTTAACTGCTGTAACAAATGGTAATTAAAAACTGAGTGGATAAAAAAGCTGTGGTACACCTACACAATGGAATACTTCTTAGCCATAAAAACATAAGGAAAGCTTACCCTTTAGGACATCATGGTTAGACCTGTAGAGTATTATCCTAAGCAAAATAAGCCAATCAGAGAAAGACAAATACTATATGATTTCATGCATATGTAGAGTCTAATGAGCAAATAAATTAATAAACAAAATAGAAAGACTCATGGATACAGAGAATAGACTGACTGCTGTCAAAGGAGAGGGGTTTAAGGGATTAGGTGAAAAAGGTGACGGGATTAAACAAAGAAAAACAAACTCATAGACACAGACAACAGTATGGTGATTACCAGAGGGAAAGAGAGGTGGCAGGAAGTAGAAGACAGTAAAAGGAGATAAATGATGACAGAAGGAGACTTGATTTGGGGTAGTTAACATATAATACAATATACAGATGATGTATTATGGAGATTGTACAGTTGAAACCTAAATCATTTTATTATCCACTGTCACCCCCAATAAATTCTATAAAAAAAATTAAAAAGTGGTTACAATAATCAAAAAAACTTAGCGGCTTGAAGGACAAGAAATTTATCTTTTTCTTATGAAACATTCAGTGCAGGGATTCCATATTGGAGAGGGAGGAAGAAGTTTTCTCAACATATTCAAGGACCCACTCTGCAGTTGTAGCCTACCAGAAAGCAAAAACCTAATGGGACTTTTTTATGTTTCAGGCCTGCAAGTGGTGTGTATAACTTGTACCCACATTCTGTTGGTCAGAATTCAGTCACATGATCATACTATACAGCTAAACTGCTAAAGAGGCTGGGAAATACACTACTGTGTGGTGGCTAGTTAGGTTTCATCATAGATTTTATCTTTAAGCCCTGCCCCAGCTCTGAACTTCTGGGTGTATTTATAAACTAGACTCTTACAATAGTTCTCACATTGTCCTGCTATAGGTTCTTTGAAAATCACCTAATCTCTCTGGCCACTAGTGAGTGGCTGGCTTGCAGTGCAGACCAATGCAATGCTTCCTGTGTAAAGTCAGGGAAGAAGACTTTTGATACCTGTCATACTACCAGGTACCACATTAAGCTAAGGTATCTTTGTACTTGTTTTTTTCTGCAGCATGGGTAGGAGCCCTCTCAATGGGCATGATCTTCTTCTGTTCTCCCATTGTGAGTATATTTACTGATCGTTTGGGCTGCCGAATCACAGCAACTGCAGGGGCTGCCGTCGCTTTTATTGGCCTCCATACCAGCTCTTTCACCAGGTAAGATTAGGGGTTGCTGGACAATTGCCCAAGGCTAAGGGTTGGCTTCTTTCTGGACTTCAATTAAGGACACTTTTCTCATTGCAGACTATCCTATGTTCCTTTCCATGTTGGGTCCTTAGTGTCCAATAGGACTCATCTAGGTGGGATTCCCTGTGCCCACTGATAGGGAATATCCACAAAGAGGACCCAAGAGTTCAAAAGTGGTGGGAGTAATCTAAGTTTGGGAGTTCATACAGGTGGACCTATGTCTGGTTTTGGCCACTGAATGGCTATGAAACAATTGATGAGTACCATTCCTCTCTCTGGGCCTCAATTTTTATATCTGTAATATGAGAGGATTAGACCAGATGGTGTTTTCACATCTCTTCCAGCACTTCCATTTTATTCTTCTTCAATGTACCACACATCTCATGACCTCATCAGCCTTCTTGTGAATGAGCTTTTAGAAAAAGCTCATGTAGACACCTATCATTATAGGATTCCTGAGGGAATCATATACTGAAAAAAGAGGTCAATTGAGCCCAAGACTGTTTAGCATTTCTGGCCCCTTGTAAGATATTTTGGCTGCAAATGCTTAGATGGTTTGGGACAGATAAGATTCATGTTTTGGGCATAAAAATGAATATTTAGCAGCATCCCCCACTGAGGTACAAACCCAGCACCTAGCTACCCAGCTAGGCTGAAGTTAGAGTAAAATCTTGGTCCCACTGGTTCCATTGGCAGAACTTAGTAGTGTCAGTCAAGGATCAAGCTATAGGTTCATTTTCAATTTCCTTTCTACCAGACCTGCAAAAACATATCTGCAGTTGAGTGGAAAAGTGAAAATCCTTCACCACAGACTGAGAAATATGGGATTCCTAACGAATTTCATTAACTTTCTGCCAAAGCCACTTTGGAAGTTATTGTACCTCCTACTTGCAATCTGCTGAGCTTGTGTAGGAAGATCCTGTCCTGAAGATACAGTTAACTTAGAGATTTGCTTTCTGAGTTTGGCTTTCCAGAGTAGGATCATGGTTATGTTCTCTAGGCCTAGAATTCCACTCACATCAAAGAATGATAATCCTGTTCTGCCACAATGGGGCTCTTTGAGGATGAGCCAGCTTAATGACTTAAGCATTTCTGGCTGTCCAGCCTACCCTGCAGCAGAGAGCTTGGATCTGTCCTGCAGTGGTTTCTTGGCACCATCCCATCTAGTTCAGACACAGGGGGAAATCATGTCCTACCTGGAACCTGCTCATCCCTCCCAGAGAAGCAGCTCCAAGCCCTTTTGGAACTCTAGTGGTTGGCCTCATTTGCCCTCAACAAGCTGGTGTCTGGCTCCTTCTGAGGAAGAACTGAGGCCTCAGAAGTAGCTCCAGTCTCGGCACTACACAACAGAGGCCTGCTTTTTAAGGCCTAGCATAGCACAGTGTAAACAAATTAGCAACATACGGATCCCATTTCCCTTCCAATTCACATAAGCTGTTACAGAAAGGGAAGGAGCTCAGATGTATTTTCTTCTGGCACTCTTCTTTAGGCACATTGGAGTAGGCATTCTGTTCTCCAGCCCCTAAGCCCCTCCCCCAACCCCTTTTGCCTTTTCTGTAAGAATATCTTCATAGCCAAGAAATATTCTGGATGGCTTCATATCCAGTAGAAAAATGGTTCTATTTGTGGCTAGTGTTCCAAGTCATTCTTTCTGTTGTCTGAATTAGGGCTCTGAGTTCCTTTGGATGGTGTGAGGTGGAGAGGAATGTAGGCAGGGCTGGGTAGGACTTGGCAAGCTTATTTAGGGCCTCCTGCCTTGGGCACAGCTAGAAATAGATCTATCAGATAGCATCCTGGACTGAACCTCATGCTTTTTGCCCAATGTCCTTAACTCTGAAGGTCTAACTAACTCCTATAACTTAGATAAGACCCCTTGCCCAGACCATCCCAATGCATACCTAGAATCACATGGAAGCAGGACTCAAGGAATAAGACAAAAGAAGAGCAGTTGGTCTACCTATGTATTCCAAGTGGAGGCAACCCTTTTGAAATCAAAGCCTTTGTTCATATCTGGTGAATGCAAACAGATGGAAAGCATTGGTAATAATAGCTGTGGTTGGAATTTTGCATGCTAACACCACATCATCTCTACAGCATAGGCACAGTCCTTTAGTATAAGGATTGACATCCATGGGGAGGAACTGCCTGACCATGGAGAATACCATATTAGGTAATTAAATTGTCAGATAAAAACTATTGTACAATATGTGGAGGCTAAAAAAACTGACAAGATTCCTCACTAGGTTGTGCCAATATTTGTTGGGGAGTGGTGCAGATAGCTGGCCAAGCTAAACTTCACATGGCCTTTTCCCTGATGACAGAGGCTTATGACCATCACAGGGCTTAAGAATTTTAAGTCAGAATATGTGTTACTTTGTGAGACCCATGACTTTTTTGAGGCTCCATTTCCCATCAAGCAGCCAGGCTACTCTGGGAAGCTAATTCAAACTATGTCTAGAAACAGGAGCCAGGCTCTGAAAATTAAAGGGGCTTTTTTTTAACCTCAGGATCTCCATGCAGATCATCTAGGACCTGGAGTAGAGGGTCTTGGGATATTCAGACTTTGGGCAGGGTTCAGGATGGGCTGTCTCTCAGGAAGCCACTAGCGATTCTTTGAAATATTAAGGGTTCTGAGCATGGAGAAACATACTGAAGAGTCCTATGGAGGGTCCCAACCTTCCAGGATTTTGGGTCCTTACAGACCTTTGTTATTTTGGATAAAGCTTTGGCTACCAGCCTATCACACTGTCTAGGTGAGCAGTGGGTAAACTATTTTAAGTCACTGGCATTCCTTGTAGCCCCATCATCCAGCCTTTGCATAGGCTGGTTTTGACTTTGTTTTGAACAATCATTTTTGATTGGGTGCTATGACTGAAAATAGAATCACACAGACCTGGAGTCAAGTCCAAGCTTTTCTGACCCCACTATGCTACTTTGGGTAAATTAATTTACTTCTCTGAACGTCTGTCTCCCCACCTGCAAAATGAGAACCAGAAGGTCCTGTCCTTTGTCTGTTCTGAGGGTCAGTGTTAAGTGGGGCTGTGGGTCAATGGTGGGGGCATTCAGGTCTCAGGAGGGTGAAGGGAAAGGGACAGGTGGATTTTCTGGTCAGGCTACTGAGGATAGCTCTTGGTGTTTCTCCCACAGCTCACTAAGCCTGCGTTACTTCACCTATGGGATTCTCTTTGGTTGTGGCTGCTCCTTCGCCTTTCAGCCATCTCTCGTCATCCTGGGCCACTACTTCCAACGTCGCCTGGGTCTGGCCAATGGTGTAGTGTCTGCTGGGAGTAGCATCTTCTCCATATCCTTCCCCCTTCTCATCAAAATGCTGGGGGCTAAGATAAAGCTTGCCCAAACCTTCCAGGTGCTGAGTACCTTCATGTTTATTCTTACGCTGCTTTCCCTCACCTACCGGCCCCTCCTGCCCAGCTCTCAAGACACCCCAAGCAAGAGAGGTGTCCACACCCTATGCCAATGCTTTCTGACTCAACTCAGGAAGTACTTCAACATGCGAGTGTTCCGCCAACGTACCTACCGCATCTGGGCCTTTGGGATTGCTGCTGCTGCCCTTGGTTACTTCGTTCCCTATGTACACCTGGTAAGGAATACCAGGGTGGACCCACCCTATTTTGTCCCAAGAATCTGCCCTTAACCTGCCTGAAGTACAGAGGGGAAGGGGAAGGATATTGAAAGGGAAGAACTGAGACTTTTGGAGAAAAAAGACAAACAGTAGTTGGAGAGACTCAGAGTGGAAAAGAACACAAGTTGAGGGAAGATCTCAATGGGAAATAGGGGGAATTCCTTAGGGAAAGGTCCATGCCTGTGGTTTCTCCCACAGATAAGTTGAGATAGATTTTTCAGGAAAAGATAAGCATCACTAGAATTCAGGAGACTGGCCCAGATGACTCAAGGATAGGTTTTTCTAAAAGTGTGTTCTATGGAATGCTGGTCTGTGGTTAAATAATTTTGTTAAGAAATAACATATATTAGCTCACTTCAGCTTTGTATTGTTTAGAAATCTTTTAAGGGCACCAAAAATACCAGCAGTAAATAAATCCTTCAGTTTTGTTTAACCAGCATCCACCCAACTTATATGGTCAAAGAACTGTCACTTGTAGTCCAGTTATCTTCCATAGACCTCATGTTTTTTAAAACACACTTTTAGAAGTGTTACTTGAAAAATTGGTGGATCTTTCTCCCCTAGTGACCTACTGTTTCCCCAGTCTGTCAGTTCTGGGTCAGGGAATGGGGAGGTTATAGAAAAACCATTGATTTTCTCACTTGTTAAGGATGTATTCGGTCCTTCTAGGACTTGGAGATATTCACTCCCCTCAGCTATTGTTCAAAAAGCCCAGAATCTAGAGAGCGAGGGGTTATGCAGCCTTTTAAGCTCTTAGAAGCAGCCAAGGAATTTGCCCGAGCTGGGACTAGAAGGAAGGAAGTTCTTGCCATGGTCCAGAGAAGTAAGCAGTTGAGAGTTCTGGATATGCCAATAAGTTAATCAGCCAGCTCCTCTTCTTTCTCCTTTCCTGGGGGGTCTGTGATATGCTTTTCAGATGAAGTATGTGGAAGAGGAGTTCTTGGAAATCAAGCAGACCTGGGTGCTCTTGGTGTGTATTGGGGCTACCTCAGGCCTCGGGCGCCTTGTATCAGGCCGTGTCAGTGATTCCATTCCTGGACTTAAGAAGATCTACTTGCAGGTAAGTGTGGCCACCTTATACATTGTGGGGAATAACACTTTGCCATAGATATCAAGCTATCCCCATTTTTTAGGATAAAATGGTAGTTGAATCATTGCTGTACAGTGGGCCTCAGCTCTGACATCAGCTTATTGTACAACATGGAAAAGTCAATAAAATTATCTGACCCTCAGTTTCCCTTGCTTTCAAATGAATACAATCAGCCCTGTTCTGACTCTTTTATCAAGATGGAGAACAGCCCTAACTTGTTTGGCTCAGTGGATAGATCATCAGCCTGTGGATTGAAAGGTCTCAGGTTCAGTTCTGGTCAAGGGCATATACCTTGGTTGCGGGCACATACCCAGGAGGGGGTGTGCAGGTGGCAGCTAATTGATGTTACTCTCTCATGGATATTTTAACTCTCTGTTCCTCTCTGTAATAAATCAATAAACTATATATTTTTTTTTAAAAAAAGATGGAGAACAATATAAATGGAACTTGAATAACATTTTCAAGGAAACATTTATTAATAATGGCTCTCTCATCTGAAAGAGGGAAAGCGAGGCCAGGTTAGATGTTGCCCCCAGTGAAGAGTGATCTACACTCTCTTGGAGGATCTTGGGCATCTGTGTCTCTCTTTTCGAGGCTCTAGGCCCAGTATATCTCTCCTCTAGGTTAGGCACAGGCCTATCACCTCTTATACTTCCAGAGATACTTGGCACCAAGCCCTAGGTATTAAATGTCATCCTCCTTTTTATTTATTTATTGACTTTTAGAGAGAGAGGAAAAGAGACAGATTTGTTATTCCACTTATTTATTCATTGGTTGATTCTTGTATGTGCCCTGACTGGAGATCAAACCCGCAACCTTGGTGTATCAGGACAAAGCTGTAACAAACTGAGCTACCCAGCCAGGGCCTAAATGCCATCCTTTTGATTGACACACACAAAAAAAATACCAAAATAGGCCATATCACTTCCCTTCTCCAAGTCTCACTTTCTTTATTTGTGCAATGAGAATAATTATTGTTTTTCCTATCTCACCTCACAGGTGAGGATTTAAAAAAATCTAGGCGTAACCCAGCTTTGAGAAGTAAAAAAAAAATGTTACAGCCATACAAGTTTTTAATCCTTCTGACAGTGACACAAATAGCCTCATATTGTGGCAAGTAGTCTCATGGATGTTCAAGAGGCCATTTTCTGTGTGAACTGGGCTCTGGTCTGGTTGGAATACAGACTACTGCTCAAACTGTTTATCTTTGTCTATAGCAATATTGCCTTTATGATGTGGTTCATGCTTTTTTATCCTGTAGCTGGGTTTACTAAAAGGTGCATAAGTGTGAAACCTTGTGGAGGAGTGATGGCAGTCCCAGAAAACATGTTATCACCATCAGGAAGTGGTCGAGTTCTGACTTTCCTGAGGAAGCCCTAAAATCATTTTCAAAGGGCCCTAATTACACTCATAGCAGGGATTTCTTTGTCTTCTTACAGACCCAAGTCTTTGCCTAAATACCTTCAGATGTCCTGGACAAGGTTTCCAGTTATATTTAACTCTGTGTTAGGTTTGCCAGAACTGGTTAATATGCTTTGTCAGAGCAAGGGGTGCCCTTATGATTCATCCAGTCCAATTTCTCATACTGATGGAGAAAATGAGGAAAAGACTTAGATAGTACTGGCAGAGCTGAACTCCTATGTTATTCCCTTTTCATATTCCACTTTAAGTGATGGAAAGCAAAGCCAAGTCCCCAGATGATTAAAAAAAAATTTGGCCAAGGTCAAACCAAAAGCCTATAATTAAGATAAACCAGTTATGAAATTTTGAATTCTGTGCAAATATAAGCAAGTGACTTATCTGGGTATAATTTTACATGGTAGTATGTGTGGCTTTTCCAGCCTCTTCTACATGACAGCCCTGCATGTCTTTCCTGTAAGTATCAGAAGCTCTAAGATGACAAAGGTTAGTGAAAATCAGGGTAAACTAGCACTGGGCCTAGACTTTACCTTGATGAGAGGCAGTAAGTACCCTTGCCTAGCTAATATAGCTCAGTTGTCACCACAGTCCCTAGGAGAGAGGTAGGGTCTGAGCAGCTTTTGCTTTCTATTGTGCAGATGGAGTTCCAATGGAAGCAGAGGCAGTAGATAGTCAGAAGCAGGACTAGGTTTAGAGCCAGTGCTTCTGCTGACCACTTCCTCTGTCCACCCACCTCTCTCTCCCTTTCCACTTTTACTTGACCCACTTTATCACTTAGAGTAATATTAAACAATTTTAGAGCATTGTAGCTGAAACAATAAACTCCCCCATTTCATAAATGAGGAACTGAGGCCCAGAGAGGGAGAGTGACTTGTCCAAACTCATCTTGCTGTTGTCTCAGGTTAAGAGCACAAGACAATATATAAACTTCTTTCTCTTAAGTTACTCAAGATACTCCATCACAGGATTTTGCTCCCCTTCTTTCTACCTGGGTACTGGACTGGGAGGAGAAAGGAATGTATACATAGCTTCAAGTGTTCTGAAGTGCCATCCACTAGACCTTGTGGTTCCAACTTTTGCAGTAGACTGGTACATGTGTCTGGTGTCAAGTCTATTAGAAAGCAAATGCTGACAACTTGAAGATCAGCCTAACTTTGAGCCAATTGTTGGGGGCTGATTCTCAGCTCTAATATTTTTAATTTCCAAACTTTGTTTGGCAGGGCCTCATTGAGGATGTTAAGAGGCAGCTAGATATAATAGTAATTAAAGGAGAATAAAATCAGTTAATTTGGTCCTTTGTGTTATATAATGGTACTTACTCTTAATTGCCAACCATTATGGCTTGTATATTGATAGGTAGGTCTAGTATTATCTTACAATTGTTCATGAATCTACCAGAGAAGAACCTGTGGTTTCTGGTTTCTTATTCCTAGATTATGCCTAAATATACAGTCTGGGAAAAGTTCTAAAGTCCGTCAACCTAGAGATTTCCTCAGATGGCATGGCCAGGACATTTTTTATCCTCTCTAAAAACTAACTGATTAACCTAACAACCATATTGACAGCAACAACATAGACTTGCAGTTAAATAGGAGCTCTCTTAAAAACTTTGAATCTTTTAATGTAAGAGTAACTATTTAGTCCAACTGTTCTCTCTGTTGACAACCTGCTGCCCCATTTTATAAATGGTAGGAATGAAGTCTGAAAAAGGTATGATTTTCTATGTGATCTTAACTGGCAAGCATAACATGACCGACCTCAGGCCCTTGCTCCTCTAGGTCATCTCCTTCCTGCTCTTGGGCCTGATGTCCATGATGATTCCCCTATGCAGGGGCTTCGGAGGCCTCATCGTTGTCTGCCTCTTCCTGGGCCTTTGCGATGGCTTCTTCATCACCATCATGGCCCCCATTGCATTTGAACTGGTGGGCCCAATGCAGGCCTCGCAGGCCATTGGCTACCTCCTGGGCATGATGGCCCTGCCAATGATTGCTGGGCCCCCCATTGCAGGTGAGGCTGATATTACAAGGAGGGTATGAGTGGGGGAGGCCTGTCTTCCTTGGGTCCTCACTTTCCTAAATACTTCTACTTAAAGTTCCCCTTCCTCTTAGTCTCTGTTTTAGCAGCTTTGTCAGAGTGCATGAAACCCCATACCATTATTGGTGAAAGAGACTAAGCATAGTATATGTGCATTAATTCATTTTGGATAATAAGATTTCCATGGCTGTATATCTGTTTCAGTGGAGTTATATTGTAGACAGCATGCATGTTTCCAAGAGGGTAGAGAGAGAAATGGGTTTGGCCTTCTTGACCATTCTATTGGTCTAGTATCCTCTTTTTTCTTCACAGGCAAGTAATTATTTGCAAAGTAGCTAGGCAGGAAGAAAAGAGAAGGTGGGCCCTGGTTTTACTTAAAGACACCCCACTCCTCCTCTACTGACTTTTGAACTGATACTATAGAAGATATTTGATTAAGATAGCATCCCAGGACTGGACTAGTGAGGGTCACTTTCAGAAGGCAGCAAGAAATTTATTGGATTTCTATCTTTCATAACTCCCAGTTTCTCCACTCTTTAAGAATGGCATTGTTGGTATCCCAGGAAACAAGGAAAACCAATGGAAAAAGAACTTTATTTCCTTTCTTTCGGATTTATGAAAAATATTAATTAATGGGCTAGCTGTTCCTAGGCTGGCCAACTGGGCTAACTCAACAAATATTCCTTGAACACAAATTCTGTGCAAGATATCTTAAAGTCATGCTGTATAACGGTGGCAAATCTTGCACTCAGGCCTTTGTGCCACAGCCATACTGCCCACTGGGCAAGGGAAGCCTCTACCCAGCCCCTGATCCCAGTAGTGTTTCTGGGCTCATTCCTCCTATGTGGTGGCTCACATTACCTTCTGAAGATGAGCAGAAGAGGCCTAGCATCTCATGCCAAACACATCCATAGTATTCATAACTTAGAGGAACCCATAGGGACCAACCATATCTGCAACTGGAAGGAAGGACACACATAGAGCTTCCTCTTTGGGCAAAAAAAAAAAACTTAAGAGAACGGACAAATAAGAACTTTGCTGAATTGTTCCACAAGAACACTCTAGCCCAAGTTGGGGATGGGAGGTTATATCACTGTGAATCAAAACAAGGCTTAACCATATTCTGTGGAGTTCTTTTAAATTAGATTTACTCTTTTAAATTAACTCCATACCTAGGAGTGACTAGAAGTTAGCTGTAGCTTCATGAAAGTCAAATATGGAGAACTTTAAGATACATTTCATTAGCTTCTTTCATAATGAGCCTTAGCCTCAAGGACCTGCAGCTCCAGTACCTAAGAGGAGTCACCTGCTTTTGTAATAGAGATTAATTTCTTACAAGTAGAAGTATCCCTTGGATCAAAGCAGTTCAGGTCAAAATTCTCTGGATAGGTATCATCATGGCCTCTACAAGAGACAGAGAACACCTTTGGGCAGTAGGGCAAAGCTGATCTTGATTTTTCTCTCTTAACTGTTTCAGGCCTCCTCCGAAACTGTTTTGGGGACTACCATGTGGCCTTCTACTTTGCTGGTGTGCCCCCAATAATTGGAGCTGTAATCCTCTTCTTTGTCCCTCTGATGCATCAAAGGATGTTCAAGGAAGAGCAAAGGGATTCAAGCAAGGACAAGATGTTGGCCCCTGACCCAGACCCCAGTGGGGAGCTGCTGCCGGGCTCCCCCACCCCTGAGGAACCAATCTAATGCCTCTTCCTTGTGATTGTGTGCTCCTCTCCAACCCCTTTCCTTTACCCACCCTGCTCAGCATTTATATTTTTGCCACCAGCACACTTGTTCCCAAACCTGTGCACACGGCATTTCAGCCACCATCCCTTTGGAGCTAAAGCTCCAGGTGTTCCAAACTCATTAATCAAATTCTCTTCATGAATGTCTTTAAATTTTCCAGGGTTATTCTCTTTCAATGATCTAGGAAAGCTTGGGATTATCCCCTGACTTTTGGAACCTCTCCCTATATCTTCTAACACTTGGGGGATGGGGAGCATGGGACCTCTTATCCCAAGCCTGTTAGTCATCCACTAGAAGCAACTGTGAAAGGTGCTATTGTATCCCCTGGAGCCTGGTGGGAAGACCCAAACCTCTGTGTGCTGAGGAGCTTCTTTCCATCTGACCTTAAAAGCTGCTGGTGAAGGGGACTGGAGGAAGAGCAGAGTAAAATGGAGCAATGAGCCTTATTTAGCCTCAGAGTCTATGACTTTCCAAGAACTGTGGGTGCTGTTAGTTTACAAGTGTCTCACCATCATCTGATTGGTTAACAGTCTGATTCCTTCTTTCCCCTATACTTCCTCCTAATGTTTCTTTCCTCTCTATTTCTTTTTATGACTGTCATAGACACACAGGTGCTTAAAAGAGGGACTCAGAGCTTGAGCCAATCAGCCTTACCTTGGTCTAGCTCCTCCCTAATATAGTCACACTCATCACAGGCTGAGCCACACTCACTTTTTGGTAAAGCTGCTATAATCATAGACTGGAAAAATATCACATATTAATAGGGAAGGGGCCTTAAACAACATCACTGATTTTTATAGATTCCCCAAGCCAATACTTAACCTGCAGGCCCTCTCAAGCTCCCCATCCTTGTATCTGTTAAAATGTGAAGCAATCCCTTTCCTCTCAGCAGTCATCAGAGGACTGATGACAGGGAGAGGGTACAGAATGGGGAGAATCTAGGAATAAGAAACTCAACCTGCTGAAGTACCAACTCTTCTATCATTATTCATGACAGATCTATAGTTCCACCTGGGCTAGGCCAGGAAAGGGACTGTTTTAGGAAAAATCCAATTCCTAACCTGGATCCCCAAAAGGTAGAGGCAGCAGCTATACAAAGGATTGGATAGTTTCCTTTAATAAACTGAAACCTTGCTAGCCTTTACCAACCAATGTGTCCCTCATACTGTGCATATTGGGCCACTCTGATTAGTGAGCATTAAAGTTGCTAGGAAAAGTTGACTCTGGACTACCTTCACCTCTCTAAAATAGGTGCCAGATGATTCCCTATACTCAGACTCTGGGCAACAATTTTGCTGAGGAGCATTCACAACTCATCTCATTAGGAGCTCAACCTCTCTCCTCACTCAGCCTCTTTACATCCCTTTCTCCCTATTCTCGGCCTTGGTCTGTTGTATTCATATAACCTAAATATTTTCTCATCTTCTTGCAAGGCATCTTTGACTGTCACTTGGAGCTAATAGTAACTTGCCACCTCAAGCCAGGGCCAGGAGGATGAGATTGCTGTTTGGGGACTCCAAAGAAGACAGTGAACCCTAACCATGAGTTTTTACATTACAAATAGGCAGCCGGGGCATTGTTGGTTTCTGATGGCCTCAATGAATGCTAAAGTCTTGATCCCCCTCCACTGTTCCCAGTTCAGCTCTTGTCAATTACTCAAAGGAAAACACACTGGATTCTTGGCTCTGTGGGTAGGAAGGGGCTTAATTACTATCCTATCAGTTCAAACAGCAGTGGAACAGGATGAGCCTTGTAATTCCCAGCAGAGACCACTGAAAATGTTGGATCAACAAAGTCCCTGCTTCCATTCCTCCTGCCCCTCCCAACACCAAATCGCTTGTGGGAAATTCTACAAGGCCTCTTTTATTGCACCTGGTGTGAATAGCTCTTAAAAATCTGGCTACCATTCACTTCTCTCCAGATGAAGGAAAGTCATTCACAGGTCCAAAATCTAACTTATCAGGTGTCACATAACATGGTAGGGTGTCAATTCTTCCACACATGTGCAGGTGCATGTGTGGGCTTGTGTGCTTATGAAGAGAATGTTGGTTGGTGAAAGCAGCATAGTATTAATGCTTAGGGTAGGATGAATCCATAGTCAAGTCTAGGAAAATGGACAAAATTTGGGAGCTTAAGACCTGGAACATTAAATCCTCAAAAGGTTTGGAACAAAATAAACAACTAAAAATCTAGCTTTGGTATGTAAATTACGTACAAGGGTGAAATGGTTTTAAGGTGGCTAACAGCAGGAAGTTTGATTTCAGAACTGAAATCTCATTTCAAATCAAATTTATGCCAAGGTCTATACTCTCTGTGAGATACATAGGGGTTTGAAGTAGGGTGGACTGTTCAGGATTGGATCTTTAAGGGAGCTCTGAAGTGGAAAAGTGGTTACTTCACAAAATGAAAACATGGGGAGTGGCTGAGTTGGAGAAGAGGCCCTGCCAAAGACACCACCTTCTTATAAATATGCAATATTGAAAATTAGCAAGAACCTAGAAATAATCCATTTTAAGACCCTTTTTCTCTCCCTTATTACTGCTGAAGGGACTGGTATACCTGGATTACACAGCCAGGCAGCAACAGAGACATTGACTGTGAAGCAGAAAAGACATACAATGTAACAAACTGGGAGTAAAATTAGAGACTCCCAGGTCTATTCTCTGCCTTAAATAGAAGTGAGGACACTAAAGCCTAGAGATAGGAAAGGACTATAGGTTCACATAGTTCATCATTGACAAAGCAGGTTGAGATTTGAACTATGGTAATTAACTTCCAGTCCAAACCAAAGCCCTTCATTTTACAGATGAGGAAACTAACCCTGGGAGGGAAAACTGATTTACCCATTTCATTCAACAACTATGTAGTGGGACCATTTCCATGAGTGTCAGCAAGAACAGCTTTGAGCAAAAATAAAATCTGATGAGCCAAGTTTGACTTTTAGCATACCCAATCTTTTCATGATTACTCTCATTCCAAACTAATACATAATTTTGGTGTTCTCTCTTCCCAAGCACTCCAGACCTCATTCATGCAGGCTTGGCTTTGGAAAGTTGGTCCTACCTAATGCCCTTTCACCCTCCAAAACCCAAAGGCACAAATAAAGTTCACACATTGGGCAGAAGAGAGGCAAAGAAGGGATTATTTTCCTTTGGGAGAGGAAACTAAGCTCTTGGTTTACCACCAAGCTCTTGGCCATTGATGGGTTCTCTCCTGACTAAGTGCAGACATCCTTAGGACGGCAGCCTCTTTATCGCCTCTCACTGAGACTAATTACTCTATCCTGCCTGGCCCCAGGCTCTGTAACCCAACGTGACTTGCCCTTTAGTCCCTCCCCACAGTAGTCCTAGGACTCCAAACTGTGTTTGATCACTCAGGATCATTAGATTTCAAAGTTGTGGAGTCCCATAATTTTTATGAGCATATGCTTTCCTTGGGTCCTTTTCACATCTGAAGATGCAGCCAGCAGCTCCCTCCCATATCACAGGAGCAGAGAAGGCCTGGTGATAGAGGATACAGGTGCCCCCAACAAATCCTGTTGTCTGACAACTAGTACTGAGGTAGGGTAGGCATTGGTTTGAACCAGAGCAGGAAACAAATTCTGAAATTCTAATAAGCTGATATGAAGAGGAGACTCCAGAGTTTTTAGATTCCTGCCTTTCAGCTCTCTCTAGTGGTCACCAAAGGCAGAGTTGCATGCCTAGTTTTAAAGTCATTTCAGCAATATTTTCTATGGACCTACTTTGAGGTTTCACTCTGCTAGAACCCATGAATTTCAAAAATGATAGGAACAGAAATGAGAAAACAAAGAGAACGCAAGGAGGAATTCCTACTATATTATTACCAAGACACTTTTTCCTCTTCTGGACTCCAGCAGCCCTGAGCATTTGACCCACCACGCCCCTTCTTGGACCAAGACCACAGCATTTTTCTTTCATCACCCCACAACTGGCCTCCAGGGGGCAAGAGCCACTTGCAAGAACTATGTACTCTTCAATGTGGGTTTCTTGCTGAGCTGAAGCAGGATAAAATTAGCCAATAGCTCAGATTTACTAAGTGTTCAAGCCATGTCCAGATGGAGGAGGGAAGGGCAGAGCTGAGCCCAGCTGCGCTTCTGCCCAGGCCAGAGAGGTAGACTACCAGCACCTCCATGTTCCCTAGGTCCCACCATAGATCGTGGTCCTGCCCCAGAGATGGGGGCTAGGGAGGCATGAAGTGACCATGAGTCTTCTTTCCATTTCACACCCACCCTACATTGCCCTCACAACTGGGCCTCAGAATCCAGTGATGTGGTGCTAAGGGATACCATTTTCCAACAGGGTCCATACACACCCCACACTCAGGAAATGCCTGGGGATGGAGATGTAGCTGGGAGATGGGGCAGGGAACAAGGTCCTGGCTGCTGCCCCCATCCTGTCAATGGCATCGGGTCACCTTGGTCAAGGAGGGTGACAGTTCCAGCCCTTCCATGGCCCTCCATTCATTTCCCTGTCGGGGAGGGGTAAAAACCCCGAAACCACTACGGAGATGCATCTGTCCCTGCTAATCGAACTGGAACTAGGCCCGCCCAGGATGGCCAGCTTTTTGGCTCAGGGAAAGGGGGCGAGAAGGAAGATGGGAGGGCCCAGCCCCAGGTGCACACAACTGTCTACAGAGCGTGATGGACAGACAGCAACTGCTCTGTGTCCAGGGCTCAGCTGCTCCTTACTCCCCCAACCCCACTGCCCTAGGCATGCCACTACCACTAGGGACTGCAGCATCACCGCCCCCACCCCACGCTTCATCTGGAGCCTCAAGGGCATCTGGCTGGACTCCCTACCAGATTTGGCCTCAAGGTCTCAAGACTGCAGCTAGTGGAGGTCCTAAGTGATTTCAGGCAGGAGGCCAGCTGAGTGAGGGTTCTGGGGGCCAGGACCACCTCCAGGAAATGCTTGAGTAAGAGCAGCCATCATCCTCTGCCTGCTCTCCAATCTCCAACCCTAGGCTGGGCCTGCTGGACAGCCTCCTCCCCGCAGCTCAGTACAGTAGAACTGCTTCTGCCCAAGCATTGGCCTACCCATCAACCTCTCCCCACCCCAGTCTGCATAAAAGCTGTCCCAGCACTCCAGAGGGTAACCATACTGGTGGGAGCTCCCAGCTCAGGTCCACTCCCCCATCATGCAGTCCCCAGATCCCACCCACCAGTTGCTCTATGTTCACAAAGATGAACCAGGGGGATTTCTTACCATTCTTGGTAGGAAGGACCAGATTGTCTCTAAGACCCACCCTCCTCAATTTGCTCCACACCTAATACTCCTCCAGTCTACTCCACCAGCCTACTTTCTTAAGCAGGTTGCCTAAGTGAGATGAAGGAGAGAGGGGGCCAGGGAAGCATTTCTACTCTCTTCTCACACACACCTACATACACCTCCCTCTCCCAAGGTGGAGTCTTATGGGGGATCCAGCCTTGCTAATACTTATGCCTTAAAGCCTTACAAAGGCCAGTTTCCCTCTGTCAGTCTGAGATCTTCCAGCTACCTGCCTCCTCATTAGCCTCTCACCACTCCCATATGTGTGCACAGACACACTCTCTTCATTCTTCAGCTCCATGAACATAACCCCCAGTGTATCTGGACACAGAGGCCTCTTTCAATGATAACAGGGTACTTTCACCTTTGGGTGGGCAATTTATAGTTCACAGGTGCTCTCATAAACCTCGTCCTCTCCCCTGCCCATGCAGGTACTGCTCTTATGCCTGTTTTACAGATTGGGAAAGTGAGGCCCAGGGGGAACTGAATGCCAGGTTACAAACCTCTTCTCCAAGGCTCTTTCTGGTCCACCTCACAGAAAATAGGAAAGTAAGTGAATTTCTCTTTCTTCCCTGACTTCTCAGAAAGCTTTCTTGCTGCTCCTGGATTCAGAACCTGCTGCCTAGGGCCCCTCTGCCCCTTACTCCCACAAGCAAAGCTCTTGCTACTGACTAGCACAATAGTCACAAGATGGAGGCATGGAAGGCAACAGAAGCTGAACCAGAGTCCTTGTGTACCACCCACCCACCCACCTCAGCCTCTTCAATGGGAGCTGGGGAGAGGAGGAATATGGAAGAATAATCAGTAGTCTCTGATCTGTCTTTCCCTGGGAGTATAGGGAATTATCTTCTGGGTTCCTCTCTGCCTCAAATGGAGGTAAAACTCCAAAATAAGCTGTTCTCTGCCTTACTCCCTCAGTACTTCTCTCATTACTCAATAACATTATCATCAGTAAGGGTTAGTTTCCAGGGCCTTGCTTGATGCCCAGAGGCCATCAAAGTGCCTTTTGTATAGGCTGGTTATTGGGTATGTGAGGAACAATTCTTGCGAGGCCCTCCTTTCATGAAAAAAAAAAGAAAAAAAAGAAAAAGAAAGAGATTCGTGTGTCTATGTGGTCTACACAGCTAGCTCAGAGGCTCCCTCTCTTTTATATGACAGTGATTTCTCAAGCTATAGAGAGATGGGGAAGAGTAACAAATACATGCAATTAAGTGTAGGGGAACTCCCAAGGCAGCACTTGGAGAAAGAAAAATTGGTGAACATGCCTAAATCCCTGCCCACACATCTCAGTGGAGTGGACTTGTGCTCTATTTTCCTCTCAGCAACTGTGGTGATTACCATTCTCATCTGCCCTGTCCCCAGTTGAATTTCCCTCTATCTGCAGGGGAGCTTGGTTTCATTTAACAGTCCCCACCCCTTAGTACTACATTGTTTTGTTTGGGCTCTAAATTCCCAGAACTCAACAAGTACTAGCCTAAACCTTTCCTTCAGGAGATTAGCTTTAAGAGTCCAAATCAAGTCTTCCAAGGTTCAAACTCACCTGTTAACCACAATGGCAAGGTCTGGAATGCAAGTAGAGTGAAGTTTCATGGAAAGTCAAGTTC